CAGGTGGGCGGCGGCTACCAAGGGAAGGTCAAGGCGGTGTGATTTCGGTTGGCGGACGGCCCCTGCGCGGCTCGGCTCGCGAGTCTGGGCACGCGGGGCCACCTGTCTTTGTTGTTTACACGCCCTGCTTACTGCGGCCCCGCCGGGCCTCGCGGCGCGCGATCGGGGCCGCGGCGCGGGGCCCGCTTCACGGCGCCGGCGTTTGCGGTGTTGCGCGGCCCGCGAAGGGGCGCTGCGCGCGCCCCGTCAGACGAGTTTCGGGCGGACCCCGCCGGCGGTTTCAAGTCAATGTGTTGGAGATGGGGGTTGCCCGCGGCGCGCGGGCCGGCCAGCCGCCGCTGGCAGTGGCGGGGGCGGCGCCCGCGCCGCGAGGCCCCCCGGCCGGCGCCGGTCGAATTTCTCACGATTAAAGATCAGATCAGATAGCAGCCCCGCCGGTGTGCGGGGCGGCGCCCCCGGGTCATCGAGAGCCGGGGCCGCCTAAACACCGGCGGGTTGTGCGGGGGCCGACGGGGTCGTTTGTCGCGGGGGACGCACCTTGCTTATTCCGGGATGAACTTCACGCCCTTTGAACGACACACGGCAACACGCAAAGCACGCTCGCACCTGCCCACAACCCGAAACACTGCATCTGTGGGCCCGGCGGCGAGGGGCGCGCGCCTGACGCGCCGCCCCCTCCACGCCGCGCCCACGCACGTGCCGCTTGCGCGCGTGCGCGCCCCCGCACCGCCTCCCCCGCTGCATTGCGCTTGTCTTGAGAGCCCAGGCGCTGAGCCATGTGCCATGTGCGCGCCCGCAGGGGGGGAGGCGGGTGAGGGCGGCCATACTACGATACCTTGCCACAGGGCGGGGCCAGGGGCCCCCGACCCCCGGGGGACTCAGCCGCCGCCTGCAGCTGCCTGGAAGCTGCGCCGCCGCACGCCCATTCGGCGCCGCGCGGCCGTCGCGTGGTGCCTGTTCCATGCGTCTGCGGGCCTCCCGGCCCTACGCCGCTGGCCGGCCAGCCCTTGGACCCAACCCACATTTTGTTATCACTGTTTGCGTGCGCTCTCGCGCGCGCGCCAGCCCGCCCTGCAAGCCCTGTTGGTCCCAGCGCCCCACACCCCCGTCCGTGCGGCCGACGGTCGCCGCCCGCGCCCCGGCGCGTGGGCGCGTCGCGCGACGCGGTCGGCGGGGGGAGTGGTAGTCCCTCCCTCGGCCCCCCCAACCCTCTATACCCCGCCCGTCTGGTGGCGGCGCGCCAGCCGCCTGGGGCTGCTGCTAGTCCCGCGGCACCCCGGCGCGCTCAAGGATGTGCAGGGGGAGGGTCGGACGGGACGGGCCATCGCGGAGCCGGACGTGCGGCCCTTCCCTTCGCCTGCTTTCCTCGTATGAGCGCCCCGCGCCGGGCCGCCTCGAGCTCTATTCCCCGCCGCGCCCACGCTCAAGACCCTCGTGCACACAGCACCAAGCGCAACTTGATCCCACGGGCAGCTGCCCCCTTCTAGGGCGCCCCCACCCTCATCCATCCGCACGCAACATCCCTCATCCGCTCTCTCCCTTTCTATTTCTCTCTCTCATATCCGACCCACCCCGGGCGGCGCGCCGTTTGGGGCCACGGGTCAGGACGCCTTCGGAAGGCGATGGGTTGGGTCCGCTCCGCACCCCTGGCCTGGCGCACGCCGCGCGTTACCTGTCATTTCGCGCGGAGACGGCAGGCTGGCCGACGCACGTGCTGCGCGCTGTGTCGGTTGGTTGCGGCCCGCCGGCGCCCGAGCCTCTGCGCTCCACGGCCGGCAGTCGCCGCTTCGCCGGCCCGCGTGCCCCAGGGTGCGCCGCTGCGCCGCGGCCCAAACACCGATGCCTTTTGTACGCCTGCCTTGTCCATTTCAAAGCCGCGTCAAGCGCACGTGCGGCACCGCCGCATGCACGGCAGCACTGCTTTTGAACTATCAAGCTTGGTGGCGGGATTGATTGGTTGATTAATCGGCTCATGGTCATGCACGCTTTTGGGGCGCGCCTGGCGGCTGGGTGTGCGGGGGCTGCGGCCTGTATTCCTGCTGCATGTAGGTGTGAATTGGGGTTGTAATCGGTGATTTTGTGGTGGCTGCTGCAGGCTGATCGGCGTCAACACAGGGGGGTTGCGGGTTCAGGAATAGGGGTCAGGCAGGCGGCAGCTTGCACCTTTACTTAGGTGCTTTGTGGAAAGCCAGGCCCGCCCGGGGGCGAGTAGGGGACGAGCTCTGAAAATTTCCGGCACGAAGGCAGGCGCGCTGACCGTATGCGTCGCCAATAGCGGCGGCTGTGACGTGCGCGCACGAAGGTGTGGAGTGGACTGTGCCCAGCAGCCCAGCACCAAGCCTGACATCAGCAGGCCCAGACCGCAGCACCAAACGGGATTCCCCCGACTTGACCAGGAGCCGCAGCTGATTCTCTAGGTTGAAATCACTGTAACTCTCCACCAGGAGATCCACTGAAGCCCAGTGGAGCCGATTGGCTCACCTTTCTCGTTTCGCGGTCATTCAACCGCGCAGCTTCCAGGCTCGCGTATTTCAACGCGGCGCATATACGGGCAACTACTCTTGGACACAGTATTGCAATCCATATTTGCGCTCATCCCTGCAAGGTGTACTGTTGTGCAACCGCTGCGTCCACGTCACCACGCGACTGCAGCCGTCACCATGGTACTCCCCCAAGCACGCCCGGCCGCCCTTCTGGTCCTGCTCCTGGCAGGTAAACCGCAATACTGGGCGGCCTTATCCTGACCATTCGCTTTCATGCCAGGCGCCAAGAACGGACTCTCTTGCATTATGTGACGTCCGTCGTGTTGTGCAACCAATTGGGCTTGAGTCGCGCCTGCCCTTGACGCACTTTGACGGCGCTGGCCAGCGCCTCTTGCTCTCGCATGGACCCTGGAAACATCGCTATGTTCCCTGCGCGCCTCGGGGCGAGCTGCTGACCGCTTGCCATCAGTTTCCCAGACATTCCCCCAGCCAGAAGGCCGTGGTCCTTA